TGTGTGTGTGTGTGTGTGTGTGTGTGTGTGTGTGTGTGTGAGAGAGAGAGAGAGAGAGAGAGAGAGAGAGAGAGAGAGAGAGAGAGAGAGAAACCCACTTACCTGCGCCCATTGGTTGAGCAACGGGCTGCAGACTGCCGCGTGCACCTGGCGCTGTAGGTGTCCCGGTACGGGCGCGTGAGGGCAGTAGGAAAGAAGACCCTGTTGATCTTGACTCTAGTCCGACTCTGTGAAACGACTGAGGGGCGCCCGTTCATTTTTGAGTGATGGGCTGCCACCCTCACAGAGAAAAACGAAGAGGAGGGGGGTCAAAAATAAAAGAAAAGAAAGAAAAAAAAAAAAAAGGGGAGTCGCGAATCTAATCGTGACGCGGGTCCAGATGCAGGGGGTAGAAGCTTCTGGGCCCTAAGTTGACAGCAGAATGTTGGATTTCAACAGTCTGCTTAACTTGGCTCTATACAGCCATTTAGCGCTGCGTCTGGCCGGGGGTGGCGGCCAGATGCATTACCAAGGCCTGGAACTTGGTTCCCCTAGGGGAACATCAAGTTTCTCAACCCTTGATCTCGTCTGAGATCAAGGGCCAGGCCTTACTCYGAGTTTTGGCTGGGGGCAAAGCARCTGCCCTCARCCTCCAGCCAGCTATAAAACAAGCCAGCAGCCAGCCAGCCARCATTCATTTGTGGCTGGTGCTGCTGGCATTAYGATTGGGTGAATGCTGGCTTGCTKCTGCTGGGAGRAGYTGCTAGTGAGAGGAGGGGGAACTGCTGCTGGTTGAAGAGGAGGTCTGYAAGCGAGGGAGGAAGAGAACTGMTSGAGGTGGCCATAGYTGTGGAACACAGCCATAGCCGCCATCTYAGCAAGGTGAAGAGAGAGGGAAGCGYTGSAGGTCTGCAGSGAGCATGAGAGTGAGGGCAGCCATAGYTGCCGCTGCAGCTGGTGGGGCGCAGGRGAAACTCTGCCYGTTTTGCGCGGCGACAGCAGGGTTTTGGCAGGCGRCGCAGGGGAAACTCTGCCCGTTTCGCACATTGGCGGCAGGTCTTCGGCAAGTGGCATAGGGGAAGTGCTGCCTGTTTTTTTTACGGCGGCAACTCTTTGTGCTGGGGAGGTGCTGCATGACCTTTTCGGAGGCGGCATTCATTTTTGAGAAGTATGTAAGGGAGATGYTGTTCRTTCAGCACAGGGACGGCAGCTGGTTTTATCGACGGTGACGCGGAAGCGCTGYCRAAGTTTTGCGGCGGCAGCTGTGCTTCTTCAGCGGTGACGCGGAAGCGCTACCGAAGTTTTGCGGCGACAGCTGGTTTTATCGACGGTGACGCGGAAGCGTTGTTGAAGTTTTGTGGCGACAGTTGTGCTTCTTCAGCGGTGACGCGGAGGCGCTGTCGAAGTTTTGCGGCGGCAGCTGTTTTTTTCGACGGTGAYGYGGAAGCGCTGCMGAAATTTTGCGGCGGCGACTGTGCTTTTTCAGCGATGACGCGGAAGCGCTGCCGAAGTTTTGCGGCGACAACTGTTTTTTTCRGCGGTGACGCGGAAGCGCTGCAAAAAWTTTGCGGCAGCARCAGGGTTTTTTTGCAATGGTGTGAAAGTGTTGTCCGGTTCTTATGGCAGCAACGACAATTTTGAGAAGCGTCACTAAGAGAGGGTGTGCTTTGAGRTGGTGTTGACGTTGTGCTGCCCGCATATTGCGGCGGCGACGCTTCGACACAKTGGTGGCATAGTGGTACTGGTCGCACGTGGTGACAGTGCTGAGATACTAAGGGGGTTGTGTGTAAGTGGGCGATCCTTGAGGGAGTGGTGTGGATCACTTTTCTGACAGCTTACTGCGACGATCTTCTCATTTGGAGTGTGGTTTATACGGCTTTCTTGAGTGGGTCGTTCGCTATCTTTGGTTCAGCTTCACTCAAGGTCTGTCAGTTTGACTCAGACCCTTCACACCTGTGTGAACCCACACTTGCTTGACCCTGTTCTTCGAACGTTCACTGAAAAGGTAGAGGAAGTTGTGTCTTGTTTACACRTGTGAATGAAAGTCTGACATGAGTTTGGGAATGCATTGTTTTCTTTTGAACTTGTTGTTTTGCTTGACGTGCAGGTAGGTAGAAGGATGTCTGAGAATGGAAGATCTGATCATGTTAATGAGAGGGAACGGAAGGATGGTTGTYTTYTATTTCTCGYTTGCATGCATGTTGAAAGGAATGACAACGAGTGGACGACGAAAAGGAACTTGATCACACAAAGAAGAAGGAATCAATTGRACATAGAYTTTTTTCTGAGGCTGCYCATTCTTTCCCGAATGACCCTATTTGTCTATACCCGTCCATCTGAATGTTCTTCTTCTCTGTAATCTCMTTCTTCGTCTAGGTTCGCCCTTGACGTCAGGCGATAAAGGGATGACCGTCTGCTATGGTAAGTGCATTTCCTTTCCCTAGGAGGCATCTGAGACGGGGGTTCGTTGCCTTAGGGGCCGGCCCTGTTAACGACTCGGAGTGGACCGCTTAGGCGAGGGATACCATGCTATCGTGGTGGAGCCAGCCCGACTTCTGAGATCCGAGGTTCGCTCAGACGAGGACGAGGGGTATCCCAGACCACCTCCTAAGGGATGAACGTGTGCTATTCACGGAAGGTGTTAAGTTCTTGGCGGCTCACGTTAAGGAGAACCGCTATAGTTTACCCTTCTAGTGGCCGTCTTAGGAGCCACAGACGAATGGGGAGTTGGCGCCATAAGAAGCCCAGTTCGTGTGTTCACTAGCTATGGACGGAGTGCGACCAGGCACTACCTTTGCGGATGAGGTTGCACCATAAGAAGTGCAAGCCTGGGGCAATCAGGCTAGTTGACAAGAAGATGTGACTAGAGCATTGCTCTGAGTATCTTTATGTTGCAGACTGGTATTTCATTACACGTGGGACAGAAAGAGTAATTATTGTCCAAGAGGACAAAACGACCAATATAGGTGGTAGCCGAATTACTTGCAGGTGACATTCACACCAAAGTTAGAAAGGTAGTAAGGTCATCACTAAAGCAATGGAATCCTAGCTCTACTTGAGAGTCGGAATTTGTCTACGTTTCTCTTTTAGCAGTCAGTATGAGGCGGAATGAAAAAACTTGGCAGCGCCTCTCATCAATTTCAAACGTCGTGTCAGCCAGCCGTGTGGCAGACAGAGTGGAGATGATTCGATGAGATGCTATTCTTGCGTCGTTATGCATGTTGTGCATACCTTGAATTTTTGTTGATAAGCGTTGTTTGAAGCTAAGTTGACCTTTGTCGTTCGTATAATTGTATTGTACATAGGGCGGTTTCGGAAGGTAAGTCAACTTATGTTGACCTGAGTTTTCTTTTGATGTTTAACTTTTGATTGTCTTAGAAGGAAAGGACTAGGATTGATCGAGATTTTCTTACGCTTAAAGTATCACGTCCTAGTTGACCGACGTCGGTCCGATTCCTGGGAGATCAGCGCCCCAGGGACGGGCGACGTTCGGGTCCGCTTTGGCGTTTAACCATGCGTACCTAGGCTACAGCGAACGAGCAAACGCCCTCGGTCGGCCTATCTCTGCAATTGCATTATAAAAGCCTTCGCATGTGGGTCGGTAGCTCGGCGGGGATACGCCCCTAAGGGTGGTGACAGCCCCTTAGGGATGGTAAGTTGCGCCCCGCGAAAACCTATCCTGTCGTAGGGGACCGCGGGATGTACAGCTGGCGCACTCGGCCGGAGCGGCGAAGGGTCGGCGCGGGTTATTGTGTCGTCCCTCAGTTGTCTCTCTAAAGTTAAAAGCCTAAGTTTCTCCTGCGTGACGTGGCCGAGAGGGTATTCGCTCGCGCGGGGGCCGATGCGCTCGACAGGTGGCGCCGTTGTCGGGAATAACGACAAACTACCGTTGTCGTTGGTGGAACGACACTCAAGAATGGAGCAAGCAAAAGATTATGCCGTAATGGTTGTCTAAGAAAAAAAAGTTAGTAATCTCTGAACTTCTACAAGTGTAAGGAAGGAACCTTAATAGATGTTACCGAACTCCTAGACTGATTTCTTGGGTTTATGTTTTGGTCCCTAGATGGACGGTGCCGCAGGACGTCGCGACAACGTCGACGATGGGAGGAACGACATTCAAGAATTAGCACGGGTCATCCGGCAGTCGCAGCGAGAGCCCTACCCCAAGATTAATGTCCCGTTGTTCGATGGGAATCATGCCTCTTCTTGGGCAGACAAGTTTGAGCAACTGGGGTATAGCAACGAATGGACGGATGAGAAAATGCTTCATATGGTTAAAGGGTACTGTCAGGTGGAGTACCGAGATGAGATCGATGAGCTGGTGCGAATCTCCCGTAATTAGCCAGATTTTAAGGCGCGGTTGCTGGAGAAGTACCAGCTCAGCGATCAGTTACTCGACCTGCGAGATTTGAGGGCAGTGGATTGTAAGAAGTTTGGTACTACCAAACAATTCTTATCGGAGTTTGAGCGTGTGGCCCGCCTAATCCCGGATTTATCTAATAAAGATCGTTGCCTCATTTTCCTTGATAACTTCAACGACGTCGAGCAATCAAAGTTGGTTGAAGGGATGCAAGGGAGGTATGACTGGACTAAGATTCGGCAAAATGCGCTGGTGGGAAGTTCGATGATATCCTCTACCGGTTGTTGAAACAACAAAAGGAGGAACGAGAAAAAGGGAAGTTGTGAGAGGTGAAGGATGGTGAAATTTACAAAACTTTAACCTGTATGAGAGAGATGATGGAGGGTATGAAAGAGGAAAGGTTGAAGCTTCAAGTCATGCTGGCTAAAGAGAAGAATAGTAAGAGGAAGGGGAAAGAGCCGGTGGCAGGAGAAAGTCACAGTGAAAGCGAGGAGGAAAAGGAGCCGCCTCGTAAGTTGACAAAGGCGGAGAGGAAGGTCTTGAATCAAATTCGAGGCGGACAGGGGACTTCCCGTAAACAGGGGAAGAATGACGGACAAAGTAATCAAGGAGGGAGTGACAGTGTTGGCGGTGGTTCATCAGGACAAGGTTCCCAAGATCAAGGGCAGTTCCAGCCGTAGGGTGGAAGAGGCCGCGGTCGAGGCCGTGGGAACGGACAGCGAAGCCGTTGGGCATGGCAGCAGGAAGCCACATGTAACTATTGCGCAGAAAAGGGTCATATTATGCGCTTTTGCCAACTCCTTTCAAAAGACGAGAAGGAAGGAATTGCCTTCACCACGATATGCGGTGAAGTCTTTGATTACAAAGGGAACCTGATCGACCCCAACATTGAAGGGGGTATGAGGAAGGAGGCGTTTCGCCGAATGGGTCGTCCCCTACCGGCGACGTTCCGGATTGCTTCTCCCGAAGAAGCACGGTTGGCCGAGGTCGAGGAGGCCATGGCGTTATTACATATTGACGACTCGCCGACGAAACCAGAAGGGTTTAGGGAACAAGTGGTGGAACGAGCGCAAACCATCACGAGGCGGTTTGCCCGATGCCGGGACTCTATCATCCGACTTTGCGTGGACATGGAGGAAGTCTGGCCTGGATTGCCGAATGTCTTTCTCTTCGGCGAATGGGGTGATAAAATGGAAGATGCGACTGGCCAAGCAGGGACGTCTGCTCTGAGAGAAGCATCACAAACTGGGCCAATGGTAAGCACGATGCGACCTAGGCATGTGCTAAAGAGGAGTGCTCCGACTGTAGCCGTTCAGACTCGGATGCGACGATGAAACAAGCAGCTTCAGATGGAAAGAGAGTCTGAAAAGGCAGTGGAAGAAAAACCCATCCCCGTTAGTGAGAGCGATGAGGATAACGAGGATGAGAAGTTGCAGGCCGGAGAGGAAGAACGGGCTCGTCGTCATGCGCTGGAAAAGGAGTCGGAGAAAGGGAAGACCGAAGCAGATGAGGAGGAACCACGAAAGAAGAAGAACATTTACTCGATCCCCGTGGAGCAGGGGGTCGATATCGAGCAGCTTGTCGATAAGATTCTAGAAAGTCAGCGCAACTTGGTCACGCTGAAGGAATTTTTGGTGGTATCGCCAAAGATTCGGGAAGACTTTAAACAGCGGATGACTCGCAAGAGAGTCATGACTGTTAAGCTCGGTGAAGTCATTCCGCCGGAGGCTAACTGGTCCCTGCCTGGGACAAAGATGGATTGGCGAAGTGTGTCGACCGGCCATATTAAGGTCCAGATTGGACAGGAGGAGTATTCGGCACTTGTGGATGATGGAGCCGAGATGAACATCATTCGTGAGCGCCATGCCATTGAAGCTGGGTTGAAGATCAACCGAAATGACTATGGGTTTTTGGTGGGGGCTAGCGGATCGACCCCATTTTGCGGGACAGTCAGTGGCGTCCTCGTCACGGTCGGAAAGGTCAAAGTCCGCTCTTATTTCTACGTGTTACCTAGAGTGGAACACGAGGTACTTCTGGGAAGGGCATTCCTATGTCGGTCGGAAAGCATCATCATTAACAAGTATGATGGAACCATGTTTGTAATCCTTTGCGATCCTGTCTGCGGTTATTACGAGGTGGTCAAGTGTGCAAACACTGGACCCTATTGTTCACGGAACCGGCTGAATCCGGAATCGTAGACTTTCCCGGAGTCATAAAAGTTGAGAAGGGAGAAGGAATCGCTAGGAGAGGAGCCGAATCCTCGTGAGTTCTCGTTGACTCTGCCTGATATTGGGCAGGCAATGGATTTTGTGTCGACACATGCGGCGATCGATCCGAATGTGGTACAGGCCCCGACGGAGATCATCACGGACACCGGAAGCGCAAGAACTATGCGTCTTGTTTACTCCCCGTTGGAGGGGAATAAGGGAGAAGATCAAAAATTGCCCTCCACTCGACAGGGTCCTTTTTTAGAGGACACAGGCTTGACACCGGCGCCAAACGGAAGTACAAGAAAGTAGGTGTGAAGGCGAAACTGGTACCTGTCCTGATCACTCAAGAGGAGGAAGTCTATTATCGTGAGGAGCGGGAGTGGATCAGAGGAATGAAAGAGAGAGGTGAAAAAGGGTCATGTCGGTTAACCAAAGAAAGAGTGGAAAGTATGATCATTGGGGAGGAGGACCTCCTTACTGAGCAGGAAAAAGAATATATCATCGATATATTGAGGGAGGAACATCTCTCCTATGCGTTTGATGATGATGAGCGAGGAAGGCTGGATGTCGATAAAATCCCGATGATCAAAGTTCATACTGTACCACACGAGCCATGGAATGTAAGAGGGCCACGTTATCCGAATCTAGAGGATCACCGTAAAGTGGTCGCGTATCTCGATGGAAAGATCCGGACAAAGGTTGCAGATTATTCTTATGGGCCGTATGCATCTCCATGGTTCTGTTTCATTAAACCGAATGGTACTCTGCGCTGGATTCAGGACCTTCAGAAGCTGAATTCGGTGACAGTGCGAGATGCAGGTGGGCTCCCACATGCAGACCTACTGTCGGAGTCTTGTGCAGGGAGGGCTATCATCACCCTGATCGATTTATATTCCGGGTATGATCAATTTCTCATTTACACTGCGGATCGGCCCAAGATGGCAATGCACACTCCTCGCGGGTTGATCCATATGTGTGTGGCACCGCAGGGGTGGACGAATGTCGTTGCCATTGTTCAGAGATATATGACGAGGGTTATGCAGCCTTATTGTCCTGACATAACTTCGCCGTATATTGACGACTTGGCTATTCCAGGGCCCCGAACGAGAGACTTGGCGGAAGTGTTGCCGGGCGTTCGCCGTTTTGTCTGGGAGCACATCAATGATGCGGTGAAAATCCTTAAGAGGTTGAAGGAATTTAATCTCACAGCTAGTGGGATTAAGTCTCGACATTGTATGAAGAAAGCAGTGATCTTGGGATTCCTTTGCGATGAGAAAGGTCGCCGGCCGGATGCGAAGAAGACTAATAAAATCTTGGAATGACCGACCGCTTTCAAGTCGATCACGGATGTGCGAAGTTTCCTCGGAACCTATGGATTTTGGCGCATCTTCATCCGCAGGTTTACCGCCAGAGTGGAGCACTTGCGAAAACTTGTGCGCAAAGGCCAGAAGTGGGAATGGGGTCCAAAGCAGCAAGCGGTCGTGGAGGACATCAAGACTGAGGTCCGTGAGGGCGGATTGATCCTTGGAGTTCCTTTTTTCGACGATGATGAAAAGCGTCATTTTGCTATTGAGACTGATGCGGGGCCCACAACCCTAGGAGGGGTCTTGATTCAGAAGGATGCTGAAGGGCAGGAAAGACCTCTCAAATTTGAAAGCAGGACTTTGAATGTTGCTGAGAGGAACTATTCTCAATTCAAGAAGGAAACCTTGGTCGTACTTCACTGTTTCCGTATCTTTCGGAACTATGTGTTCGGTAGACGCTTCATCCTGCGGGTGGATCCGACTGCATTGGCTCAATCCTTAAGGAATTATTCACCTGCTGATCCCACCATTGCACGATGGTTGACTTATATTTGGATGTTTGATTTTGAAATTGAGCGGATTCAGGAAGTCAAAATCGTGCTGATGGGTTGAGTCGGATTGAATGGGATCCAAAGACGGATCAGGCAGAAAAATCAGTTCCGGTCGATGCCTTTTTGAAAGAAGAGGATTCGAGGTTGAGTATTAACTCTTTGCCTACCTGACCGATGCGGATCTCGACATGGAAAATCAATATGGAATGCTCCCACCTGTCACGAGGTACGTTCAGAGCTCGTGATGGAAGAACCTTTCATCGAGGAGGAACCATGGGGCGAGCAGACCGTAGAGGAAATGATGAGGCTGACTTTGACCGATGACATCGACCTTATGCTTGATCCGCTAACGATTGAACAGGGCCATATACAGGCTGATGACGCTTTCCAGATCATTGGAAGGATGTCATATATCATGAACTTGTTGGTTCATGAGGATCGCCTAAGGTTAATGAATGTGGAGGAAGGGAGCAGTGAGGTCAAAGAGGCATTCAAGGAAAAGGAGTACGAAGGGGAATATAAAAAGATAGGCATGTGGTTGAATGGGGAATTGGATGAAAACGAGGTTGATCCGGTTGTGTGGGAGAAGGGCAAAGGATTCGTTGTTCGTAATGGTCATCTCTTTAAGAAAGCTACTGATGGTGTCCCAAAGAGGGTGGTATGTGGAACCTCTCGACAGTTGGATGTGATTGTTGCTCTGCATGATGGGCTAGCCAGCGGACACAGATCTGCGCGGGTAACTTTCAACAAGATCCAACGTCTTTATTTTTGGAAAGGGATGAGCAAGGTGGTGATCGACTTCTGTACATCTTGTTTCCTTTGCCAACAGAGGTCTAACATCCGCTACCCCGAGCCCCTGAATCCACGGTATGTGGCAGAACCAGGTGCGGTGGCGCATTTGGATCTCCTAGTAATGCCACCTGGGATAAATGGGTACACGTATATCTTCGATGCTAGGGACAATTTGACTGGGTTCATTGATGGTCGTGCCATTCGCGAACGTACTGGGTCAGTCTTGACAGAGTGCATTGAGGAATATTACCTCCGTTATCCATTTGTTCAAGAGATTGTTATGGATCGGGGAGGCGAGTTCCGAGCAAAGGAGGTGCAAACGCTTTTAAAGAGACTTGGGGTGAGTTTCAGTTATACGACGAGAGCGCATCCCCAGGCCAATGCACCCGTGGAACGAGGACATGCCACCTTGTCTAACTTGTTGGCTAAATGGTGCAAGGGGGAGCTATCAAGATGACCGATTTATTTGAGGGCAGCCTTTTTTGTTGAGAATGTTACCATCAAACGAACAACCGGGTATGCCCCCGTCACATTATGGTTTGGACGGCATGCGACCTTCCCAATTGAGAGTTTCCTGACCACTTGGCAAAAACAGAACGTGGAAACGAAACTTTCGACGAAAGAGTTATTGGAATTGAGGGCAAGATAGATCATGGTGACTGAGGAACATATTGAGGATGCGGTTGTCTCTACTTCTGAAAGCAGGCAGGCTGACAAGGAAAAATGGGACAAAAGGCCGCGTGTACGAAAAGAGTCGTTGGAAGTTGGGGACATCGTCTTGTTGTATGATATGTCGTTAGAAAAGCAGTGGTCCAGAAAATTAGACAGTCGGTGGTTGGGACCATATCGGATCACTAGGAAAACAGAGCATGGGGCGTACGAAATAGAGGAGTTGGATGGATCTCGGAGTAGAAATTGGGTATCGGGTGCACATCTATGGAAGTTTATCCCAAGAGTTTAGTGAAAACGTTTAAAAAGAAAGGGTACAGGAGGTAATTGGTGGCATCAATTTTGGTAATTCTTCTTGCTTCCATATTGTGGTTCAACTGATTCTGACTTTTGTCTTTAGGCTAACCAAGAAAGTTGTAAAGTATTAATAAAAATATTGAGGTTGAAAAGTTATCAATGGGATTATAACTCCAGTTGTTTTGGGTAAAATGTTATAAGGGATCTGTGCCTTATTGTCATGGACGATTGTAAGATGATTATGATACCAAAGGACTTTGTAAGATTTTTATCATGATTAGATGTTCATTGCAAGAAGTGTATTGTGAAATAGCTGATGGATACTTATATTGTTGGACTGTTCATCACGTATGAGAAGGACTGAAAAAACCTGGAATTCTTATGGGACTCCGTGTATGTGGTTATGAATGTGACATTTCTGTGAATGCATGTCTAAGGAGATGATGTGTACTTGGGTCATATGTCTGGCTAGATTAACACATGTTATTCGTCGGACATGTGATTCGATTGTTCGTCATGCCTTATGACTTGGTATTGTTTTAATTGTCATGCAGTGAGGAATTCTAATGGTGAGAGCCTCGTAGACGGTAGTGAGGCCTGCGCCAGAACTTTGTCCCTAGTCCATAGCGGGATATTGCCATCTCTCCTTTCGAGGAGACTGGCTACACTATCGTCGAAAGGGAGGAAGGTGGTAATATGTTTGTTGGAACCTTGCTTGTGAGGGTGACGATCACTGCTCGCCATGAGGGAAAGATTGATCACCTTTTGTTTTGTGGCGAATGGGGTCGCCTCAACTTTATGGCCGGGTATGATCAGCTTAGGTCATAAGGAAGGGGTAGTTCAACCTTGCAGGTAGGGTACTAACAGATGTATGACACTGGAATCGGAGGGAAAGTGGTGAGGCTCGAGTCTAAAGCGGGGCTTGACGTTGAGATGTTATCCTCTATGGATTACACCACTCCTCGACGCATTCACAAGACATGTAGGAGATAAGTCATGCATGATGATTAAGTTGGAGTGGGAATTAGCCGGACTGGACAAGGACTTCTGGAAGCATGATTTCTCTCTGGGATGATACCGACACGTGTTGTAGTATAGTGTGAGTACCCTTGTGTTTCGTGGGAAGCCCGGGTTAAACTCCTGACAGCGAGAGACATGCTGAGGTGTTAGGAATGCACCCCCATGAACATGAGAGGCCCAGGTTAAATTCCTGGCAGCATGTGTTGTATGACGAAAGACCCGTTGGGAGTTAAGCCTGACGAGACCTAGACAGGGGGTTATAGCCTGAAGAGAGTCCCAACAGGGGGATAAGCCTGACCCATCTATGAGAGACAAGAAGAGAGATGAGTGGCCGCCAGTGGGATGATGCTGGGATCATTCTTTTGAAATGTTCTTGTAACCCCTCGGGTTGGATAAAGCCAACAGTGGATTCCAGATTCCGGGGAAAGACCTGCCAGATGTTATTTTTGGCCCCATTCCAACTTGCGACTAAATGAAAGTGCTTTCGAAGGAAGGTTCGAAAGAATCATAAGGCTTGAAAGTAAGTCTTTGTGCTAAAGGCTTGAAAATAAGCCTTTCTTGTTGACGGTGATGGAGTCTACATGGAGTGACCGGAAGATTATGAAAGGCGCGGAAGATGAACGGCGGGAACGTCGCTCATCCCGTATAAATATATAAGATCTGAGTTAATTCTAGGTGTATTGTGATTATATGGTAAAGACCTCGCCTTGTATTGCCCTACGGCAAGCGACGGGGACGTCGCTTAATGGGGGCGGGGAAGGCTGTCGGGACAGAAACCCCTGTGAGGGTTTCTGCCCGAGTTTTTCAAGGCCAGACACTGTCCGATTTTGGATTTAGGAACTTGATGAGATTGACGTTGTCCAAGTTATTCAGACCTGCACTATGACTGAGAGACCTAAACTTTTTTGAGCCTGACGTCGTCAATGCAGAACGAGATCGACGTCCGTGCGGGATAGCGGTAGTCGGCACTGCCGTCCGTGATTTTCGACGAGGCCGCACTGGTGTGCGGTCGTGGGGAAACTAAAGTTGAGCCTACTCTACCTATAATAAGGTAACAGCCGCGCGATTCAGGGCCTAAGCAGGCCGAAAAGGGGTCGCCGCGACGAGATTGGACGGCGACGTGAAGGGATGATTTTTAGGGTCCATGGGATGTGTGCCGAGGACCCGGGGGCGAGGGCGTCGGGGCCGGCTGGGTAGGGCAGCCGTTGAGGTTGTCGGCTGCCGACCTCGCCTGCCAGCCTCGGCGGCAAGCCGGATTAGCAGGCTCCGTCTGCTAGGCGTTGAAAAGAGGTCTGCTGGGCGTTGGAACCCTTCTTATAGAACGGCTGCTCCTTTTTTGATGTGAGAAAGAGCTAGCCTAGTAGGTATTGCCGCCAGATTGTTACCCCGCAGACATGGGGATCGAACCCGACTAACAACCCTACTGGGCTAGCTCCTTTTGGAGCAGCCTGAGGATGGGCGCGGCTGATTTTCGGCCGTGCGATCTTCGAGATCGCGCGGCTGGAATCAGCCGCGCCGAGAATAGTATGGCCCCTGTGTGAGGGTGACACGTACAGACCGAGAAATGGTCTGAGTTTTCTCTTTTGTTTTTTGGAAAAAAAAAAAAAAAAAAAAAAGGGGCAAAACTTACGTTGCCCGTATCTGAACACTTATGCGCTCAGGCATAACGAGGACGCCAAGGCATCATCGTGAGGTAAGTCCTGTCTTTTCTTTCTTTTCGTTTTTTTACTATTTTTTTGCTGCCTCTTCGTCTGCCTTGTGCCACTAAAGTAAAGCGAGACGAGCGTTGGCATAACGGTAGGGCACAATTTAAAAAAAAAAAAAAAAAACGTCGCGCCATCTGGCGCGTTTTGAAGTGACTAAGGGCATAAAGCCCCTTGTGAGATTACAGGCACCCGTTGGAAACAGACAGCCACATTAGGTAGGGCTTTTCTTCCTTTTTTCCTTTTTTTTCTTCTTCGTTCTTGATTTTTTCTTATTAGATTTTGCTTAGATTTGGGTTAGATTTTTTTTTTTTCTCTTCTTCTTTTTTTTGTTGGTACCCGTTCGTTTTGAATGAACGGGCAGACACGATGGTGCCAGACTGTTTCGTCGGATTCGCACCGACCCATCAGGAGGCTGGACCTTGACAGTCAGGGTGGGGAGCTGATGAATCCACCCTTAAAGGTGGATCTGTATGTCGCGGTGTGTGTGTGTGTATGTGTGTGTGTGTGTGTGTGTGTGTGAGAGAGAGAGAGAGAGAGAGAGAGAGAGAGAGAGAGAGAGAGAGAGAGAGAGAGNGAGAGAGAGAGAGAGAGAGAGAGAGAGAGAGAGAGAGAGAGAGAGAGAGAGAGAGAGAGAAACCCACTTACCTGCGCCCGTTGGTTGAGCAATGGGCTGCAGACCGCCACCTGCACCTGGCGTTGTAGGTGTCCCGGTACGGACGCGTGAGTGCAGTAGGAAAGAAGACCCTGTTGAGCTTGACTCTAGTCCAACTCTGTGAAACGACTGAGGGGCGCCCGTTCATTTTTGAGTGATGGGCTGCCACCCTCACAAAGAAAAACGAAAAGGAGGGGGGTCAAAAATAAAAGAAAAGAAAGGGAAAAAAAAAAAGGGGAGTCGCGAATCTAATCGCGACGCGGGTCCAGATGCAGGGGGTAGAAGCTTCTGGGCCCTAAGTTGACAGCAGACTGTTGGATTTCAACAGTCTGCCTTACTTGGCTCTATACAACCATTTAGGACTGCGTCTGGCCGGGGGTGGCAGCCAGATGCATTACCAAGGCCTGGAACTTGGTTCCCCTAGGGGAACATCAAGTTTCTCAACCCTTGATCTCGTCTGAGATCAAGGGCCAGGCCTTACTCCGAGTTTTGGCTGGGGGCAAAGCARCTGCCCTCARCCTCCAGCCAGCTATAAAACAAGCCAGCAGCCAGCCAGCCARCATTCATTTGTGGCTGGTGCTGCTGGCATTAYGATTGGGTGAATGCTGGCTTGCTKCTGCTGGGAGRAGYTGCTAGTGAGAGGAGGGGGAACTGCTGCTGGTTGAAGAGGAGGTCTGYAAGCGAGGGAGGAAGAGAACTGMTSGAGGTGGCCATAGYTGTGGAACACAGCCATAGCCGCCATCTYAGCAAGGTGAAGAGAGAGGGAAGCGYTGSAGGTCTGCAGSGAGCATGAGAGTGAGGGCAGCCATAGYTGCCGCTGCAGCTGGTGGGGCGCAGGRGAAACTCTGCCYGTTTTGCGCGGCGACAGCAGGGTTTTGGCAGGCGRCGCAGGGGAAACTCTGCCCGTTTCGCACATTGGCGGCAGGTCTTCGGCAAGTGGCATAGGGGAAGTGCTGCCTGTTTTTTTTACGGCGGCAACTCTTTGTGCTGGGGAGGTGCTGCATGACCTTTTCGGAGGCGGCATTCATTTTTGAGAAGTATGTAAGGGAGATGYTGTTCRTTCAGCACAGGGACGGCAGCTGGTTTTATCGACGGTGACGCGGAAGCGCTGYCRAAGTTTTGCGGCGGCAGCTGTGCTTCTTCAGCGGTGACGCGGAAGCGCTACCGAAGTTTTGCGGCGACAGCTGGTTTTATCGACGGTGACGCGGAAGCGTTGTTGAAGTTTTGTGGCGACAGTTGTGCTTCTTCAGCGGTGACGCGGAGGCGCTGTCGAAGTTTTGCGGCGGCAGCTGTTTTTTTCGACGGTGAYGYGGAAGCGCTGCMGAAATTTTGCGGCGGCGACTGTGCTTTTTCAGCGATGACGCGGAAGCGCTGCCGAAGTTTTGCGGCGACAACTGTTTTTTTCRGCGGTGACGCGGAAGCGCTGCAAAAAWTTTGCGGCAGCARCAGGGTTTTTTTGCAATGGTGTGAAAGTGTTGTCCGGTTCTTATGGCAGCAACGACAATTTTGAGAAGCGTCACTAAGAGAGGGTGTGCTTTGAGRTGGTGTTGACGTTGTGCTGCCCGCATATTGCGGCGGCGACGCTTCGACACAKTGGTGGCATAGTGGTACTGGTCGCACGTGGTGACAGTGCTGAGATACTAAGGGGGTTGTGTGTAAGTGGGCGATCCTTGAGGGAGTGGTGTGGATCACTTTTCTGACAGCTTACTGCGACGATCTTCTCATTTGGAGTGTGGTTTATACGGCTTTCTTGAGTGGGTCGTTCGCTATCTTTGGTTCAGCTTCACTSAAGGTCTGTCAGTTTGACTCAGACCCTTCACACCTGTGTGAACCCACACTTGCTTGACCCTGTTYTTCGRACGTTCACTGAAAAGGTAGAGGAAGTTGTGTCTTGTTTACACRTGTGAATGAAAGTCTGACATGAGTTTGGGAATGCATTGTTTTCTTTTGAACTTGTTGTTTTGCTTGACGTGCAGGTAGGTAGAAGGATGTCTGAGAATGGAAGATCTGATCATGTTAATGAGAGGGAACGGAAGGATGGTTGTYTTYTATTTCTCGYTTGCATGCATGTTGAAAGGAATGACAACGAGTGGACGACGAAAAGGAACTTGATCACACAAAGAAGAAGGAATCAATTGRACATAGAYTTTTTTCTGAGGCTGCYCATTCTTTCCCGAATGACCCTATTTGTCTATACCCGTCC